TCTCTGATTAAACTTACTCTTTCACAAAAGGCAGGCAGAAGACATGCTGGGGTGGCAAGGATCATACAATCCTGCTCCATTTCAATACCATCTGATTTACCGGAGCATACTTTGGAGTTAAGAGTCAATAGGATTTCCTAAGAGATTGGATGTAGAACGTGAGGGAACAAGAAGTAAAGGATGACTCCAGTGATTTTGGTTAGAGCAATTGGAAGGATAATCTCTTCACTGAGATTCTGTGGAAGGAACAAGTCTGAGGTGTGAGATGTTGGAATAAAAGAGAAATTTGGCATTTGGCAATTTATTTGCCTATTTGCCATTTAACTGGGAATTCGCAGAAAAATAGAGAAGTGTAAACTTTGGAAGAGATGAAAGTCTGCTGATATAAGTTGGATAGTTACCTACACACAGAAAGAATGTAAAGCCATGGAACTAAATGGAATTATTGACAGATGAGTGTAGATAGAGAAGATAAGCAAGGATAGACTCTTGGGGAACTCCAACCTTATAAGAAAAGAGGGGGAATAAGCAAAGGATACAGAGAAAAAGTGGGCACCTCATGGGATAAAGTAGGAAAAAAACCATGGGAGTGCCCTGCCCCGGAAGGCAAGTGATACGAAGAGAGGGAAATGATCCACCACGTCAAACACCACAGATGGGTCAAGTCTGTATGAGGACTGAGGATGCATCACGAAAGTTTTCAATCATCGCAGTGACTTCTGGGGTCTGTGGATGAAAACCTGACTTGGTGGCATTACTTGAGTGACTACTGCCTGCTGTTCTTCAGCAAGAGACACTCGGATCTGGGGCCACTTTCCCTGAGACAGGTATTGTACCTACAGGAAAGAAGGAAACCACGCCTCTGCAAAACCCTGCTTACGGCCCTTTGTATAGAAATCATGCTTCCTTGGACCAGTGAAGTGAGAAGCTTGTGATCAGAGATCTCTCAGGGATTATAATTTCTGCCCAGAAGAAATTAATCTAAGGCACAGAGCAGCTGCTCAGGCTTGGGAGGGTTACGGGCTCTGCTTCCAGCAGCTCAGCTGTCAGTGTGGGTAACGTTTCCATGTACTCTGCAGAATGAGTAAGCATTCAGCTCTAGGCAAGGACCATTTTAGAGGTAAAGACACTCACGTTAAGGCCAGCAAAGGAGCAAATGAAGGTTGTATACAACATTATTTCCCACCTGGCGGGGAGTAGAGGGCGGAAAAGGCTCTTTAATCTATTTCTGTCTGTTGGAATTCCATAATTTCCTTCTGAGATAAAAAGTGATTTGTCCAGGAGAAGGAAGGTCACCCCACTGTGTCAGACCCAAGGAGGCTTCAGTGAGATAGGACTCTAGGCAGGGCCAGTGGTCTGTGAGAGCATGGGGGGGCTGCTGCAAAACTAAAGCTCAGAGGATTGTGGCGGACCAGTCTGGGTGGCATGAAGAAGTCCTAAAACACTGGGCTGGTCAGTGTGGGGAGGAATCCTGCAGCCAGAAAGTGAGTGTCAGGACTATAGTTCAGTCACTCAGTCGTGTCTGACTCTTTGCGACCCCATGGACTGTAGCACACCAGGCTTCCCTGTCCATCACCAACACCTGGAGCCTACTCAAATTCATGTCCATTGAGTCGGTGATGCCATCCAACCATCTCATCCTCTGTTGTCCCCTTCTCCTCCTGCCTTCAATCTTTCCCAGCATCAGGGTCTTTTCCTATGAGTCAGTTCTTCGCATCAGGTGGCCAAAGTATTGGAGTTTCAGCTTCGGCATCAGTTCTTCCAATGAATAATCAGGACTGATTTCCTTTAGGATGGACTGGTTGGATCTCCTTGCCCGCTAAGGGACTCTCAAGAGTCTTCATCAATTCTTGGGCACTCAGCTTTCTGTATAGTCCAACTCTCATATCCATACGTGACAACTGGAAAAAACCACAGCTTCAGGACTATAGGTGTGGATAAAGGGAACTGGGGAGGCGGTTGATTTAGGAAGGCCCATTGGCTAGGGCAGTGGTTGTCTAAGTGTGGTCCGCAGATCAGCAACATCAGCATCACCTGGGAACTTGTGAAGAATGCAGATTCTCAGGCCCCACATAAGACCTTCTGAATCAGAGACTCTGCAGATGGGGCCCAGCTATGTGTTTTTGACATGATTCTGATTCACGCTAACACTGAAAACTATTGGGTCTAGGACTGAACTAGGCTGGTAACGTTTACTAACTGGAACTGAGAACACTAAAAATATGGAAGTCAATACGGCTTTGGAACCTGAGTGGGAGAATTGTCTAAATTATCTAAATATATTTCCTATTCATTCCCAATAACAAAATAAAAGCTATTTCCCTATCAAGTTATATAGCTTTTGGTTGTTTAAGTGACAGAAACCACAACAGGGGCTTAAACCATATTTGTCATTTGTTTGATAGAAACTCTGAAGTTGATCCAGGGTTGGCTCTGAGGCTTTTTGACGTCATTGAGGCCTTGGTTTCAGGCATCAGTTTTTTTTCTCTTTCCACACTTCTGCTCTCCTGGTGGTATCCTGCCGGTCATGTCTGTCCTTACTGCCACAAAATGATTCTCCAAGCTGCAAGCATTACATTCTGGTAGAAGATCATTTTAAACAGGAAGGAAGTAGGTGGAAGTCAAAGTGCTTTCTTCTTGCATATCATTCATGCATTCACTTTCTCTCTGCCCTCCCCATCTCCATACCCCACCCCACCTCACTCCTCTCTCTTTCACACATACATCCCCTCTGGAAGATGACGTCTCCTCATGTATCACTGTACAAAACTGGGTCACATGCCTGCCCCTAGACCAATCACTGGTAAATGAGACCATATTAGATCTATCAAGATTCATCGCTGAAGGTTGGGCCCATTGACTATCCCAACAAAATCAGCGTTCAGTTAGGAGAAAGGCAGTAGGGCTGTAGAGAGGGCAACTAAGAGTGCCTGCTATGGTTACAAGGATGTACACTTAATCTATATTTCAGTTACCAATAAAGTAACCACTTTATATATATATATATATATATATATATATATATATATATATATAATGACTTTATCTGAGTCATACTCTAAAATTCCAACTGAATATTCTTCCCTCATGCCTTTATCGGGCAGTTTTAATAACACGGAGAAATTATCTTTTAATAATCTCATATTAAAGTGACTCCTAATGGGAAGACCAGACTTGAGAATTTTCCAAGATGGTTCATTACATGTAATAAGCTACTGTGAGAACCAGTGCAGCAGTTGAAAAACAAACACAACAAAATAGTAATTCTCTGAAAGATATTAGTTTTGAAATGGCACAATCATTACTTTTAAACCAATAGCAGACACAAATACTTTCCTCCTCCCATAATGCTGTATCTTATATTAATTTTGAACAGATGTATGGTAGTAGGTATAGTGGTTAAAATCACTTTGTTCTCTTCTCCGATGGGCGTTTATCGTAGAGCATCCCGTCACCCCACAGTGGTTCAAACGAGTGATAGTTCTGATTCATACTGGGAAATACAGCCTACTGGAGATGGGGCTGAATGTTTCCTACAGTGTCCCCAGAGAGAAGCTCTGCCCATGGCTCTCTCTCACCCCTTCCTAGATGTCCACCTATTGGAGAAGCAGCTGATCATCTGATCGGTCAGCGCTTGACACCCACTGGGTAGAGTCTCACTAAAGGGCAGGGCCACTGGCTTGAAAAGTGGCGTGTGTCCATGGTTGTATTCACTGACTTTCCCTTCTAGTTCTGGCTGATAACTGATGGGCAAAAGTGACTCCAGGGGAATGGAACAGGACGCTTTGCTTCAGTTTCTTAGTCTGAGTTACACGTTCCAATCTAGTTCAGTTTCACCGTGAAGAAGCCCTGCATGTTGAGGGCCAACTCTCACACGCCTCACTGTGCTGAGGACAGGCAAGTTCTCCCCCAATTACTGTCCTTGGTGGTCTCACTGCTTTGGTTGAGAACCCCACGAGAAGAGGCAGGGGAAGTGGTAGGATTAGGGCACAAGACCTCACTTGAAGTCCTTAACATTAAGTTTTGTTCACTATAAATGAGATGCTGACTTAAAAAAAAAAGCCAAAATTAGCCATGGTTTTAAAATCACACATTTTATTATGACAGGACAGAAGCATCGAAGTATCTGAAATCTCCCTGAATTTTCAGAAAGTCATTTGTACCTTAAGCACCATTTAAAAATGAAATCGCAAAAGAGTCGGACACTTAGCAGCTAAGCAACAACAACAAAAGCTTGAACTATCTGAGCAGACTGGCATGACTACTACTACTTTAATAAAAGACTGTAATTTTTCTTAAACCATAGAATTATAAGGTATGCATGTGCGCTAAACCACTTCAGTTGTGTCCAACTCTGCGAGTCTATGGACTGTAGCCCACCATGTTCCTCTGTCCATGGGATTCTCCAGGCAAGAATACTGGAGTGGGTTGCCATGCCCGCCTCCAGGGGTCTTCCTAATTCAGGGTTTGAACCCGTATCTCTTTGGTCTCCTGCATTGGCAGGTGGGTTCTTTACCACTAGTGTCACCTGGGAAGCCCAGGTGTAACATGGTGCTTTTCTTTCAAATGCAGTTTACCCGGGCTTCATGTGGTGTCAAGAAACAGAATCTATTCAATCTAGACTAAAAGTGTGGTTTGTTATAATGATACTTATACCAAGGAAAAACAATGCCCAGCTGAGCCTTATGAAGGTAGTGAAGCTGACCAGATCTAAAGACCTCACAGACACAACCTCGTGGCCTCCTTTTGTTCACTACCATTGCTGTCACTCAGACACCAACCTACTCATCCATTTTGCTGAGTTCAAATTTCTTGAGAGAGCAAGAGAAAGCTCTGATTGTTTCTTCTTGAGTCAGGTGTGTCCATTTGGGAGACTGATGTGGTAAGAACATTTGAGCAAACATGGCCACCTAGGCCCATGTCTTAGGGTTGGTCTGTGGGAGGAACAGGTTCTTTCAGAAGGCTGTATAAGCAAGGATGCAATGACTGACAATTCTATTTTAGTGTAGCTCAAAAAACAGCAGTTGGTACCAAATTATTTGGAGAAAGTACAGAAATGGCAATCCATTCCAGTATTCTTCCAGGAAAATCCCACAGACAGAGGAGCTTGGCAGGCTACAGTCCATGGGGTCAGAAAGAGTCAGACACAATTGAAGTGACTGGGCAGAGCAGAGACAGCAATAAGCAAACATATCAATGGGTCCAGGTAATACAAAATGATTGAACTGACTTTGTGTGTGTGCTGTCACTGATACTGAACTGTCTAGCATAATATTAGCTACAGACTGAAGCAAATCTTTCAAGTTATTCCTCCCTGAATATAGATATTCAGGCTTCCCTGGTGCTTCAATGGTGAAGAACCTTCCTGCCAATGCAGGAGACATGGGTTTGATCCCTGGGCCAGGAAGATTCCCTGGAGAAGGAAATGACAACTTACTCCAGAATTCTTGCCTGGAAAATGCCATCGACAGAGGAGCCTGGTGGGCTACAGTCCATGGGGTCGGAAAGAGTTGGACAGGACTTGGTGACTACACAACAACAAAATATAGATATTGATGGTCTTTCCATATTTATTATTCTACCAAATAATCTTATAATTGGCCTGATTTGATCTGTTACTGTTCCATAGCCTTGCCTTCAGAATCTGTGAAAGGAAGGTAATGGAAGGATATGAAAGTCAAAGTGGTAGTCTCTCACTGTGTCCGACTCATTGTGATCCCGTGGACTGTAGCCCAGGAGGCTCCTCGGTCCACGGGATTCTCCAGGCAAGAATACTGGAGTGGGTTGCCATTTCCTCCTCCAGGGGATCTTCCTGACCCAGGGATCGAACCCAGGTCTCCTGCATTGCAGGCAGACTCTTTACTGACTGACCAGGGGATGCCTGAAAGGATGTAACTGTTTTAAAAATACAGTGGTCAACATGTTTTCATTGGCTTTTCTTTGGCTCCCCTGTCCCTTCCCTTTATTGGATTCCTATACTCAAGCTGATTCAACAGCCGAGGAAGTGCATGTGTGAGAGGGACCCTGTGAAGGAAATCAAACCACTGATCATCATTAGATATCTTCACGTAGCAAAACTAAATTCTGGCCACTTTTCCTGACTTTAATCTATTTCTACGTGCAGTCCCTCTTGGCTCCTTTGTTTCTTATTCTGAATTTTGCTTGCGGCTATACTGTCAGTTTCATTTCCTCTTTTGGCCCTGTTTTTCCTCTATGCACCAATTCTAAATCCCCATGGCCAGCCCCACTCCAAAGCCTACCACACTGCACGTTTTCAGAATGGAAGGCACAATGGATCTGTTCATCTTATTGGATATACAAATAAAAGTGCTAACATTTCCCTTTTCTAACACTTCTAGCTAGAAAAGAACCCGCCTGCCAATGCAGGAGGCACAAGAGACGTGGGTTCAATCCCTGGGTCAGGAAGATCCCCTGGAGAAGGAAATGGAAATTCACTCCAGTATTCTTGCCTGGAAAAGTCCATGGACAGAGGAGCCTGGTGGGGCCATGGGGTCACAAAGAGTCGGACATGACTGAATACGCATGCATACATGTGAGGCCATGTGTGAATATCCTGAGTTGGCTAACCACAAAGAAATCTACATCTGCCTTGTTTGTGTAAAATACTGTTAACAACTCAGCTACAAACCTTGAGAATCTGGATCTGCAGACGTTATTTGTGTCTACTTCCTTACTTCTTCATTCTGAGGGAAGGGTTCCGTTGTCACTGTCATCACCCTGGTTTTTAAAGTAGGAAGCTAGGCTCCAGAGAGCCAGCAAACAAGGCTGAGTCCCTAGGGATGTGGGATCATGTATCACAGGCACACTTGAGCTCTTCTACCCAGCTTATTTATAACAGAAGAGATTGCTTTTCAATGTGAATGTCTGTCTGCCACCTACCATTTGTGCGTTCTTGACTTTGTGGCTTTTCAAAGCCAGTCTGAGGAATCAGATCTAAAAAATCCAATGCAGTAAATAGACAATTAGAAGAATGGCATTTTTAGTATTGAAAGTATATTGATTTTTGCTATTATTCTTATTTTTCCCTATCTTTTTCCTTCTACTCCAAGGTTCTCAGAATGCCTTGCCCTCTTTGAAATCTGCAAGATGTCAGGTCAGTTTATTGTTTGTTATTGGAATATGTAAATTGCTTACCAATGTTGTGTTAATTTCTGCTGTGTTAGATCAGCTATATATACATATACCCCCTCCCTCTCAAGTCAGCCTCCCCATCTTATCCCCCTAGATCATCACCTAACACTGAACTCACCTCCCTGTGCTAGACAGCAGCCTCCCGCTAGCTATCTGTTTTACACATGGGATTACAGATCACTTTTATATGGTGTCATGGATAAGCCACTGTCAGGGGCAAATGGGTTCCTAGCCAAACCACTCAGTGAAGTGTCTACCAACCTCCCTGTGAAGCTTTGGTCACTGGCAGTGTTTCAGCATGTGCCGGCTCCCTCCTGTACGGTTTTAAGTGAAGAAGTAGTCAAGATGGAAACAGAATAGATTATTATTATCTTCTGGATATACAACTCCTTAGGCAGATTTTTAAAATATATAAGCCTCTACACAAATATATACAAGATACATATATGTAAGTATGTATAAAAATTCCCCAGATTTCCCCTGTTAAAGAGATTTCTCACTTGGGCTCGTCAGGGTCTTCCTTTCACCCACATTCTGAGAAGGGTCCTGACAGCCATTTTGAGTTCTGTAATGAGGAATTGAGAAGAACGAGGCATGGGAGCTGAAGCTGAAATTAGAGTATTTGAGGAGAGATGAGGTGGTTATAACATGGAAGCAATTCTGGCTTTAAAATAAAATTTCCTTCCATCTTTTATTATCTCTCCTTCAAAGCATCTATGAGTATGAGAAAGAGTTATTTCAAAATTACTTCAGTTGCTGGACTGTGTTTTCTGACCGCAAGGTCATTCTCTAAGACTGGACGATGTCTGTCATGATCATCAGCACTGCGGAGATTGTTTATCACTCGACAGACTCACCATCTGACAAAATTAGATCTTTTTCATCATCTGGCATTAGATCAGTAAACAAATCTTTATAGTCTGAAACAAAATTAGATAAAACATGGTGGGTTTAGAACATAACTAACAGCCCACGAGATGTTCTATGTGAGTGCTTTTCAAACTTTGTTGACCATTACCCATTATAAATTTTTTTTTTAACATTCTAGATCAATACCTGCACTTGTCTGCAAGCAATGAAACAAAAAGTTACACGAGAAAATACCCTTTTCTAATTTATTCTTACCCTTCTCTTTTCTACATACCTTTTTCTTTCTATTAATATTCTATTTAGTTTACTGGAAAAATAAACTAAATAGAATATTTAGTTTCTGCTCTTCTTACTTACCTTTTATTATCTATTTTATTCTAGCTCAAGAAAAATGCTAGTTTTTATATCCACTTCATACCTAGTAAATTTTTTCACAGTTTACCTTTCGATATGGAAAGCACCATACTGTTATTAATTGATTCCAGTGCTCATTAAACAAATAGCCCCATAACAACCCAAATTCAACCCCATTTTTCCCACTTAACCATCACTAAAATTTTTTATGAATTAGTTAAGCCTAAGAGCCTAAAATTTTAATGAAAAACTTATATGGTTCTGGTGCAAAGACTCCACAATTTGGCTTTTCCTCCTCTGTCCTGGGAAGCTGCCACTCATCCCCTTCATGACAGACCTTATAGTGTTTGCTCGATCCTACCACAGGGGCCCCAGTGGGCTCCCGCTTTCCATGGGCATTGCTTATCACCAGCTGGGTTGACTGTTACCCAGATACCTAGAGACACTGGTCTAACTGGACCTCTTAAGATACATATTCTGAGTGGAACTGAATTTGCCATGCTCCTCTGGACAGTGATTTGGTCAGCTCGACCAACCTCTAGAGGAAGCTAGATTCGTTCATCAAGTCTGCCCCTATCCATTTCATGCTCTATCCAGCCACCCACCAGGCATGTTGTGGAGCCTTCCATCAACTATTCAGCCGAACAGTTGATGGCCTCTACCTATCTCTTTCAGCTCTCTCCATCCTTTCTGGATTCCCTGCTCTGTCCCAGCTACCCTGCTTATCATCTGAACACAATTTGATGCTGCCAAAGCATCAATTTGATGCTTTGACTGTGTGCATAAAAATAAACTGGAAAATTCTGAAAGAGATGGGAATACCAGACCACCTGATCTGCCTCTTGAGAAATCTGTATGCAGGTCAGGAAGCAACAGTTAGAACTGGACATGGAACAACAGACTGGTTCCAAACAGGAAAAGGAGTACGTCAAGGCTGTATATTGTCACCCTGCTTATTTAACTGATATGCAGAGTACATCATGAGAAAACACTGGGCTGGATGAAGCACAAGCTGGAATCAAGGTTTCCGGGAGAAATATCAATAACCTCAGATATGCAGATGACACCACCCTTATGGCAGAAAGTGAAGAACTAAAGAGCCTCTTGATGAAAGTGAAAGAGGAGAGTCAAAAAGTTGGCTTAAAGCTCAACATGAAGAAAACTAAGATCATGGCATCTGGTCCCATCACTTCATGGCAAATAGATGGGGAGACAGTGGAAAAGTAGCAAATTTTATTTTTTGGGTTCCAAAATCACTGCATATGGTGACTGCAGCCATGAAATGAAAATATGCTTACTCCTTGGAAAAAAAGTTATGACCAACCCAGACAGCATATTAAAAAGCAGAGACATTATTTTGTCAACAAAGGTCCATTAGGACCTTGACCATAGTCAAGGCTATGGTTTTTCCAGTAGTCACGTACGGATGTGAGGTTGGACTATAAAGAAAGCTGAGTGCTGAAGAATTGATGCTTTGGAACTGTGGTGTTGGAGAAGACTCTTGAGAGTCTCTTGGACTGCAAGGAGATCCAACCAGTCCATCCTAAAGGAAATCAGTCCTGAATGTTCATTGGAAGGACTGATGCTGAAGCTGAAACTCCAATACTTTGGCCATCTGATGTGAAGAGCTGACTCATTTGAAAAGACCCTGATGCTGGGAAAGATTGAAGGTGAGAAGAGAAGGGGATGACACAGGATGAGATGGTTGGATGGCATCACTGACTTGAAGGACATGAGTTTGAGTAAACTCCGGGAGTTGGTGATGGACAGGGAGGCCTGGTGTGCTGCAGTCCATGAGATCACAAAGAGTTGGACACGAGTGAGTGACTGAACTGAACTGAACAGTTTCACACTTCTCACCCTGCCTGGACTCCCTGACATGCCTGCTTTGCTCCTGTTTTTCCTTCTGGTGGGACACCTTTCACAATCTCTTCCCTACCTGCCCCTCCATTAGCACGCCTCCTTTTCACCAAATTACAGGAGTGATTCTTACTCCTCCTTTGAGGCTCAGTTCCCGTCTTATCTCTTCTTGAAAGCCCCTTTCCGAACGCTCTTTATGTGGTTCCCCATACCCTGGGCCTCTCGGTCA